TTATGTTTACCATTGGGATCTTGTACATGATATGTCTTGGTTCTTATTTTTTCCCCATTCCCCTGTCCTCCCTTTTACCCCTCCCTATTTACAAAGACTTTGAAGCCCAGCATTTGAAAGGCTGAGGCAGGAGGATGCCTGGGCTACATACTGAGACCCTGTCTCACAAAACAAATAATCCCCACTAAGCTGGGTCAGTTCATTCTGGATAAAAATTTATCACTGAAAATATGCAGTCGTCACTTTTGACCTGTTGTGGTAGGTACAATTTGTCTTTGCGGGAAAGTTACACACAGATCTTAGGGACACTTGAGAATAATTACTTTAGGCACAAACTACAATTTTTGTCCTCCAGATAATAAATAGTAAAGATGTGGTGAGGAATACAGGGGTAATTATCTGAACATTCCTGAAACAGTGAAGTCCATAGCTCTGGTGGAAGGGAGGCTGTGATAACTACCACGACTATAAGCAAGAGTTAAACCTCCTAAATAAAAGGAGAAGGGTTTTCTTTGTTCTGTTTTGCTTTTGTTTTTTCTGTCTTTATTTTTTTGGTACCACGATCGAACTCAGGACCTTGCACTTGAGAGGCAGGCAGCAGCGCCACTGGCCCCATGGCCTTATTTTATTTATTTTTGGTTTTTGAGGCAGGGTCTCCCCATAGCTGGCCTCAAACTTGCGGCAATCCTCCTGCCTCAGCCTCCCAAGTACTGGGACTACAGGTGTGTGCCACCATACCCGGTGACAAGGGTTTTTGATGTGGATGTTCAGATGTAGTAGGAGCTTTGATGGAGAACATGGGCTTGCAGTTCAGTAACTTCAGACTGGTGAGAAGCCAGAGCAGAGTGAGGAAATAGATGGTGCAAACTAAGGACTTGAGTTGGAAATTTATATCCCATTTGGATCTGCAACTCTTACTTGCTTTTCTGCCTCCTGCTGATTAAATCAGGAAGAGCAACCTCAGTATGGCATCCAGCAGCTTGTAGTCCCAGCTGCTAGGGAGGCTGAAGCAGGAGAATTTCTTGAGTCTAGGAGTTCCAGGCCAGCAGGCCAGCACAGTGAGAATCTGTCTGAAACAACAAACAAACAAAAACCCCCACAAACAACAAATCTGTTAAAACCTTTGTTGTTTTTCCATTTGGGGAAATCAAAGGATCTGTTTTTCTAAGGACATGAAAAACTGACTCACACAACATCTCACACATTTCACTTGTTTCGTGGGTAAATCATGGGTGGATGAAGAGTGTATTCCTTTCCTCACTATGCAAAACTCACCTGTTTCTACACACCAGTGACAATTACATGATGTGATTACACACACACACATCAAAACACACACAATACTTAAGGGGAACATTTATAAAATATTCGGGTGCCTGACCTGAACACTGAAGGACTGGACAGCAGGATTCAGTATGTTCCTGGATGGGAGGGCTCAGTACTCCACATACTGAACAACAGGTGTTCAGTGCAGGCCCACGCAGAAACTCCAGCCGAAAGTTGTGTGTGTGTGTGTGGTACTGGGAACCAAGCCCAAGGCCTCACGTATGCTGGGTGTCTTGGTCACTTTCCTCTGGCTGGGACAAAACACCCAACACCATGATGTAAAGGAAGAGATGTGCATTGTGGCTCTTGGTTTTAGTGGGTTCAGTCCATGGTCAGCGGATTCCAAGGCAGAAACATTGTTGGGGAGGGGCTGGCGGAGGAACGCTGTTGACCGTGGGGCAGCCAGGAAGTGGAGGGAGAAAGGGGGCGCCAGGGACAAGAACTCGCCCTCCAGGTCCCCCCGTGACCACCTCCTGGCGGCACTTCTAGCCGTGACTCACCAGTGGACTAACCCACGGATGAAGATCCAGTCACCTCCCAAAGCTCCACCTTTGGACACATGAGACCCTGGAGAGACATTCTAGGAAATCTCAACCCTGGGGAAATGATCTACTGTTCAGCTGTGTCCCCAGCCCTCAGGTGCTGGTTCTGAAATTCATATGGACACGCAAATCACTTAGAATAGCCAAAAGAATTCTGATAAAGTAAATATCAACTTGAAGGACTCATGCTACCCAATTGCAAAACTTACTAGAAAAATTTATAGTGAGCCAGGCACTTCTCTTTCAATTTCATTAAAAAGCTTGATACTGGTGTAAGAACTTCCCAGGACTGAACCCATCTGGATTTGGGCTTTTCTTAGTTGATAGTTTTTTTTATTACTACTTCAATTTCATTGCATGTTATTGTATTATTCAGAAATGTAAAGTCCTCTGGTTTAGTTTTGGTAATTTATATGTGTCCAGGAATCCATTTCTTCCAAATTCCCCAATTCATTGGTGTACAAAATTATGAAAGAGTTAATACTCTTTTTATTTTGGCAGTTTCCATTGTGATTTTACCTTTTGCATTTCTAATTCATTGATTTGTGTCTTTTCTGTTCTGATCTTTTTATTTATTTATTTATTTATTTATTGGTTTTTTTGAGACAGGGTCTCACTATGTAGTTGAGACTGACCTGGAACTCACTACGTAGCCCAGGCTGGTCTCAAACTCATGGCGATCCTCCTGTGTGCTGGGATTACAGGCGTGCACCACCATGCCCAGCTTCTTTTCTTTCTTTCTTTCTTTTTCTTTTTTTGTGTTTTTTTTTTTTTACTTTGTTTCTTGATCCATTTTGCCAGTCTGTGTCTTGATTATGGAAATGAATAACTATTCGCAATGACTTACTACTTGTAGGTACTGATTTTTTTCCTGTCATTGCCTTGTTTTCCTGTTGCTGTTTCCCTATCTTTTCTTTGTACTTCTCTGGTCACCCTACTGGGTGAATTTACTCTGTTAGAGCTTTTATATTATTATCTTCATTGTCTCTTCTAGGCTGTTCTTGAGAACTTTTTGGATGCTGGTTTGGGGGGTCATTTCTTAGGTGGTCTTTATCATAAAAGTTGTCTTTTTTTAAAAACATTTTTCTTTTTGTACCGGAGATAGAATTTGGGTCCTTGTGCTTGCGAGGCAGGTGGTGGGACCACAGAGTACATCCCCAGCCCCTTTAAAAGATGTCCTATTGGGCTGCGGATGTAGCTCAGTGGCGCTGCGCCTGCCTGGCAAGCTCAAGGTCCTGAGTTTAATCCCTGGTACTGCAAGGAAAAAAAAAAGATTCTATTCTTGTGTTGAAAAATAGATTCTATTCTATCCTTTGCGTATGATATGTTGTAGAGAGGACCGAGGCTATCTGGGGTCTAACACTAAGAAAAAACAAATATTGAACTACTAATGACCTGCATTGTGTTGACTAAATGGAGCACTTTATCTCTATAACAATAGAACAGTATTCAGCAGCAATAGCATAAAGTTAACTAGCTATCTAGAAATTCATAAGGCTGATAGTTAAACTAGGAAATGTGGAGGGGATGGGGAATCCACTGAATGAAAAAGGCACAATTTGAAATTTTTTTTTTTTTTTTTGTACCAGGGATGGGCCCTTGCGCTTGCAAGGCAGGCCACCGAACCGCTGAGCTAAATCCCCAGCCCCAGAATTTGAAAAATTAATGGGTTATGAGAAGGAGGAGAGAAAATGAGACAAAGGCTCCTACTAAGGACCAAAGGAAATGAATATGATAGAGAACAGTCATAGGAAAGAATGAATAAGAAAAAAGATAAACAGCACAAACGGGAGATAAAAGAAAGTTAATGAAGAGGGCCAGGGACTTAGCTTAGTGGTGCCACCGCCTGCCTCGCAAGGACAATGTCCCAAGTTCGATCCCTGGTACCCCCCAAAAACGAAAGTTAATGAAGGAAGAGAAAAAAGTTGAAAGGGAAAAAGAAACTAAAAAGGGGAAGAAGGGGGGGCCAAAAATCCCCAAAAAGTCCACTGAAGGAAAGGTAAAAATACATGAAATAGAAAAATTAAAAAAGATGGAGTCAGAGAAGAAATTCCTGTGCTACTACTGAATGAGTGGTTCCTTTGTAAGCTCAGCAGTCTCAGGACCCAGCCAGCCAGGATTTTCTCTGCCCAGCTCTGGGGCCTGTGGGCTCCAGAGGTTCCCTGCCCTGCACAGAGGCCCCTCTGTCCGTGGGCCCCGGGCTGTGCTCACCGCGGGGCGGGAGAGCGGTCAGCCCCTGCTCTCCGCTGGCTGCAGCCGCAGGGTGGGCCTTCGCGTGGGCTCCTGGACTTCGTGTCCGCAGTTGTGTCCTCACTCTGGCTGCCAACAGGACTCGTGGAGAACAGCCCAGTGATGCCGCAGGTTAGCTCCTGCCTAGGCGCTCCCCGGGAGTCTATCTCACTGTGTCGCTTTCCCTTTGCTGCTGTGGCGGTCGCCACAGGATATAAAACAATGCCGATTAGCTCGCAGTTCTGAGGGCGGAGTGAGCCATTTCACCAAATCAAGTTGACAGCAGCCTGCCTTGTGGAGGGGACCCCACGTCCCAGCTTCTAGTGCTGCCAAACTCCCAACTCCTGGCCTCTGAATCACCGTCTTACCACCTGGCCTCTGCTACCATCTTCCTAGCTCCTAAGATGCTCACCACAGTCACATCTGCACAGGGCCTTCGTCAGGGTTAGGGCATGGATATTGGTTTTGTTTTTTGGCACTGGGGGTTGAACTCAGGGCTTCGTATCTAGTGCTGAGCTGCGTCTCAGGGCTTTTGTCTTGTTTGGAAGTGGTTTAACCTCACACTTGGAATCCTCCGATCTCCGCCTCTGGAGTAGCTGAGATTACAGGTAACACTCACTGCCACCACTGCTTATCTTGTGAGGCTCCAGCCTGGCCACCAGGGCAAATAAAGTCTGGTTTAGATTCAGGGTTAGGTTCATGAGGCCCTGTGGTCGAAGTCCAGGGCTACACACCCAAGATCCTGGAGGAGGACTTGGGTCATGAGTGGCCTCACTTCCGGGAGCCCGCACTGAGCTGCAGTGGATTTACGCCCTGAACTTGACCCGGGTTCAGGAAACAGGGCTGCAGCTGTGGGGAAGTGGGTGTGGGCAGGCGGGTGGGGGGGTGCCCTCCAGCTGGGCCTGAGGAGGAAGCCGAGCTCCAGAGACCTCGGAGGGGGGCCGAGGTGCTGGGTCACAGCCCCTCCCGTGTCCACAAGGACAGGTGAGGCCACAGCGCTCTCCCGGGTGCCTCGGAACCTGGCAGGTGACAGGTGACGACACAGGATGCCAATTCCCTGCTGCCTTTGTAGTTTCTGTCTTCTCTCTGGGAAAGGATGACAGATAGTTTTGCTTTCGTTTACAGGAAAGTGAAACCTTCCTCATTTCAGATGCGGCCAGGGAAGGCCCCGGAAACTTAGTGTCCTGGCATCTGCTTGGACGGACGTCCTTGGCATCAGTCTTTCTTGTCGCCAGAGGTGCCCCCCACTTCCGCAGCCCCTGAATCCACGCCCTGTGTCTGACTCACACAGCGTCCCGCGGGTGGCAGAGGCTCAGCTGAACAGGAGAGGTCGGGGTGCACGGCTGGCAGCACCAGAGAGCAGGGATCGAAGAGGAGGCAGTGTGAGCGGCATGACTTCCCTGCAAGGTAGAGGCCCAGACCCGGCCAGGGTCCCAGCCTCCTCCTGTCCCTATCCCAGGGGGGGCTGGGTCACGCCGACGCCTGGTGCACACTGCAAAAATTGTGTGTGTGTGTGTGTGTGTGTGTGTGTGTAAGTGTGGTTTTACGCTGTGTCCTTGGATGTTTTCCAACATTCCTTGATATGTTAGGATTGGTATATTAATGTTATTCTTAAGCTGTATGACTAGGATGGTGAAATAGTGACATCTTCATGTGATTGGATCCAATGATACTTAATTGGTGTAGTTTCATCCTAATAAAAAATTAAGTAAAAACAAGTGCTAAAACAATCATCCAAGAGAAGTGACAGCACAAAGTCGTTTTGTGGGTGAGTGGAAATACAGTGGATAATGTGAGTTCACGATTAATTAGTGGTAGAAAAATGCCTGAGGAGGGAGGACACCTCTGGCTGGGGAAACAGGTGATTTCAGATGAGTTGGGATGGGAGCTGGATGCTAAAGGAAGAGTAGAATTTGAATGGGCAAAAGCAGGAGTCAGGTGTGGCGGCAAGGACTGTAGCCCAAATCTCAGGAGGCTGAGGCAGGAGGATCTCAACTTTAAGTCCCCCCACCACTTAGTGTGGCTGTGCCTCAAAAAAAATAAATAAATAAAACCTGCTGGGATTTAACTCAGTGGTATAGCATCCCTGGGTTTTATCTCCAGTATTGCTAAAAGAAAAAGAGGAAGAGGATGATGAAGAAAAAAGCAAAATTCCTGGTTAATTGAATCCCATTGAAATAATTAATTGGAGAGATTGCAGAGACCTTAGTTCAGAATATAGTGGATGAACTAGTTAGGCTAGAGAAACTTTACAGAAATAATCTGCAGTAAGGATACATAGCAAGTTTGGAGTAATATAGACAGCTTTGAACGCTCGGCTAAAGCAATGGAGATTTTTGCTGCATACAGTGGCCCAGGCCTGCAGTCCCAGAACTTCGGAGGCTGAGGCAGGAGGACCATGAGTTTGAGCCCAGCCTGGGCAACTTAGTGACTTAACGGGGCCTTGTCTCAAAAAATAAATACCAACAACAGCTACAGCAACAAGGACTGAGGATGTAGCTTAGTGTGAAGGCCTTGAATTCGATCCCCAGTAATGCCAAAAAACAAAGAACTGGAGATTTATCTTTTTGTTAGAGAGAAATCTCTGGAGACTTTCTGAGTTAGTCCCGGAAGAAGGCTTCGGACATAGGCACCCCACACTTGGTGGGTGTGGGCCTGAGGGCAGAGCAGTCACAAGACCGCTGGCTGCCTGTGCCTTGACCAGAGGGAGTCACAGGGATGCAGGCTGGGGTGGAGCGGCCGGTGTTTCCTGTACTGTGTTCTACCTCTGTCAAAATTCTCTTCCAAGTGGGAGGTTGGGGGAGACCGAGTGCACCGTTTAAATGAAGAATCTGGGAGCCGGGTGTGGTGGCGCATGCCTGTAATCACAGCACTCGGGAGGCTGAGGCAGGAAGATCGCTGTGAGTTCAAG